TAAGATTCGGACTCCAAATAAGTGCAAACAAATGAGACCTGACATTTACTTCTGATTGTTTGTTGGATCTGGGACGAAAGTAGCCTTTTATGTTTCCCTTTATTACTTTTAACTAATATTTGTTACTATCTCCTTCGAGAAAATTCTAATTCTAATTTGAGTGGTAAAATTAAGAAAAAGGAATAATTTATGTTTAATGAGTTATAATTATAACTGAATCAATGACAAATTTGATTATGTGATTAATGTATTGTCTTGCCTATATTGTTATTTTGTTATTGTTGACTGTTATCAAATATATTACAATGTTATTTTTTAATAGAACATATTTATTATAAAATGATAATATAAATTTATGGATAATTTTAAGTAAAAATTATGTAAATCACATAGTGTTAAAACATAAATTACCTTCTATCCCTACTTTTTTTCAATTTACAAAAATTTTTTTAAGAAGTTTCTGATACATAATAAAACAGTCGGATACATTCTATATTATGCTATTTTATCCGTTTGTTGAGTGATTTGGGGGATTAAAAACTGAAATTTGAATTAATTCCTACTTTTAATATGCTACAGTTATTAATCCCATAAAAAAAAGCATTAACTTGTGTGTTTCAAAATCAGTTTTATCCAATATAAAACTCTAAATTAAATTATAATTTTTCATTAGTGATCTTTCCTTTTTTTTGGCAGACTAATTCTTTTTTTTTGTTAAACACTATTTAAATTTTATATTATATTTATATATCAAATACTTTATTTTATAATCTTTGTTCAAACTTACTTTAATCAATATTAATTGCGGATATTTCACCCAAATTATTGTCAGTTCTAATTTAATTTAACTTAGTAATATAGTATCATGTGTGTAGATAACTTAAAAAATTTCATATTTGAAAGGACAATAATTGTTCGTAATATATATAAATCATAGTACTGAATATATCTTATTTGTAACAAAAGATATTAATTTTTTTAAAAAAAAACTGACGTGTATCTAGTGTAATAACTAGTATCACTGTTTGTGATATTATATATTTTGATATTTCATGTATCATATACAAAATATAATTACGTATATAATTTTCTTTTTTTGTATCATGCAATATATTTACGTATATATAATAAGTGTTTTTTATGACAATAATTACATTAATGTAATTATTATTATAGTTTTGATACAATAATGACATTCATGTCCCAATAACAGTATACATAATTCCTGAATTCATAACGGTAATAAAAATAAAATTAAAGTAATAGAATAAATAATTTTAAAAATCAAAACACTTTCATAATTTAACAATATGTGTTGTTATGTTAATAAATACTTAAACATCTTGTTTAACTCCAAAAAACAAAAAAAATCAAACATTGAAAACTAACTAGCCTACATTAACAATTTCATTTTCAGATGATGGGTTTAATACATTCTTCATTCTTGAAGGGTCATCACTGTTGCTAACATATCCAGCATTCATCTTGTCGAGACCATACTTCAATAAAAGAATCGCATATCTTTTGCGAAGATAGCTACTCTTAAAACTATTACATGACATGTTGATTTTGTCACTCAGAATTCTGCATATACAACTACGAATAGTCCGTAATCACTACAAAAACAATAAGAATAATTATAAGGATGAATAGATACAAAAATAAATAAAATAATAAACAATACTCACAGGCTATCACTTATTTGTTGCATGTTGTCTTGAGCAAACTCCACATTAAACGAATGTTGTGGACCCAAAAGTTCTCCAGTTTTCTTGTCTTTATATGCATCCAATGCTGCCCAATCTGTTCTAACAACATATCATAAGTCAGTCAAAATTATACTTAACAGACACTTTATAGCCTAACATGATACAAAAAATGCAAAGTTGTACTTGATACATAAAGGTAACTACAATTATAAGTCTGTCTACTTGATACTAACATGATACAAAAAATGCAAAGTTGTTAATATGATACATAAAATGCAAAATAAACTTGATACATAATTCTAACAACATATCATACGTCAGTCAAAATGATACTTAACAGACACTTTATAGCCTAACATGATACAAAAAATGCAAAGTTGTACTTGATACATAAGTGTAACTACAGTTATAAGTCTGTCTACTTGATACTAACATGATACAAAAAATGCAAAGTTGTACTTGATACATACGTGTAACTATAGTTATAAGTCTGTCTACTTGATACTTTATATAAACGATAAACTTTAACATGATACATGAAACATAAATTGTGCTTGATACATAATTGTAACAACACAATGCAAACCAATTATGCAAGCTCTTAGACTTGTTTTCAACCAATTTCGGATCTTCAAAAATATAGATTTGTTTAGAGTTTGAAGTGATTATTTGAGTAATCCCAATACTAAATGACAGATGATCCATGAAATATTAGAAAAATAGAAGAATGAAAAGAGAGAATCGAAGAAGAACACAATACCTTTCAAGAATATTGGACAAAAATGGCGGACAGAGTAGACGAAATTGGCGATTTGATTTTTTAAGGCGGACAGAGTAGACAAAAATGGCGGACAGATTAGATGAAGACGGACGGACGGAGAGCAAAATTTTGATTTTCAAAGGCTGACAAAGTAGACAAAAATGGCGGACAGATTAGACGAAGGCTGACGGATGGAGAGCACAAATTTTGATTTCAAAATTGAGAAGATGAACCGTTGAGAAATTGACGCATTAATTTTGGGAGTGGTGTAAATGGGTTCTTTATTTTGGGAAAATAAAGAGTAAAATTAGGGATAAGATTTAATTGGTTAGGATTTATTAGGATTCTAATTTAATAATGTATCTGTTAAATTAGACTTATTAAAAAATAGAATTTTAGTATTTTTTAAAAAAATAAGGGAAATATGGAGAATATGTAAACTTAAGTTGTATATTCAGGTAATTAATTAATTTTTAGAACTTAAAAGATATAAATCTTGAAAAGTCAAATATTTTTTGAGGAAGTTTGAAGACATGGTGAAACTTCACTAATATCTTCACCTAAATATAATTTGCAAATAATAGTTGAGAACTTGGGCCTCAACACAAAAGGTTCTTTGTTAAGGAATGGGAAAATTGTATAAAATAGCAAACTAATAACCTAAATTAAATTGAATAGCTAGGGTTTGATTTAATTGTGCTCCATAGCAAACATTGACAAAAATTTGCCAAGCGTCTCTCTCCCAGAAGTCTCGCTCGCCACTCTCCTATTCTCGCCTCTCTCGCTTTATACACAGAAGTGTATAATTTCTGTTTCTGTTTTGTATAAAGCGAGAGAAAATTGTATATACACATGCAAAAATGTATATCTTCGTGTTATACACTTAATTATATAATTTACAAATATTTTACTTCAAATATTGCAGAGAAAAAGGCCAAAGAATTATACAACTGTGACTTATACAATTGCAGTGAAATACAATTTTTTCTAGCTTTATACAACAGAAGTGTATATATTGTGTTTCTGTTTTTGTATAAAGCGAGAAAAATATATATCTTCTTGCTATACACTTATAATTATGCAATATACATACATTTTAATTCGATTCAACTGTATGCAAAGCTAATTATACAATTGCAGCGAAATAGGCCAGCGAATTATACAATTTAGGCCAGCGAATTATACACTTTTATATGTATAGCGAATTATACAGTTTTTAAGTTTGGCTATGGAGCGCAATTATGCAAATTTTGCTGTATTATACAAACATAATTTTTTTGTTTGCTATATGTGAAAGTTGCCCTTAAGGAATTTAATTAAATTCAAACAAAACAAATAAAGTTGGAATTAATACAATTAACAGTCAACAAATAATAATGAAGGAATGAAGGAATATTCTCAAATTTGGGCTTCTTTGTCAAATTCAAAGCTATTGGACTTTTGGCCCAAAAACTTAACCTATCCTAATTCTAAGATGGGCCTGCCGACATAAAATGGGCCTCAGCCCTCTTCTTCTCTTCTTGGACTTGATGTAAAAAATTGGACTGGCCCATTCTTTCATCCTTGTGTCAACTGTATACACTTCCTATATCTGTGTATATCACCTACTTTTTCTGTATATCTGATGTATACTTAGTGTATACAATCCATTTTTTAGCTTTCAGGATATATACTTCACCTAAGACAGACCCGATCACGTTGTTTGTTAAGACGCAATCCAAAGTCCAAACACAAGGATGCCTCAACACAAGGATGCAGAGGCACATGAGTTCAATTGAACTTTTTTGGAGCAGCAGAATTGAGACAAAACGAACAGAGGAGCAACAACTTCAATTTCTAAACACAAAGCTTTGACAAAGAGCTTCAAAGAAAGCTTTGAAAATAAAATTCTGGACCTGAGATCTGCACGTTTTGTAAGTATGTCAGTTAATTACTTTCTTTGGAGTTTATCTCACTGTGTTCTCTATGTATATGATGTATCTCTAAACCCTTTCTCTCTGTTTTACAACTTCTTTACTAATTCAATGTAAGCTATCTCCCAACCCATCAAAACAAATGGGGTGAGGGCTTTAAATAGGGGACAAATTAGGGCATGAATTGGGGGAAAATGGTTGGAATCAGACAGAGATCGGATAAAGATTGGGGACATTTGGAGTTCAAATTTCAAAATTTTTATTTCAAGAACAAGAATATGTTGATTTAATACTTAAAATTCTTAATAAAATTTTAGATGGTGAATAGAAAAGGATGACTTGATCGATTCAAGCATCCTTAAAACTTAACGCGGCGTAATCTCGCGCGAGCAAGGACAAGGAACGTAACTACACTATTTAATAATACGCATCGGAGAAAGACCGCACATAGCCTAACCATTTGACTATGAGAATTTTCATTTTATTCAAAGATAAATGTTTGTTAATAAAAATTTCAAATACAATTTCAAAAATTAAAAATAATTTTTTTTCTTAAAATTATATTTATAGAAAATACATTTACATTCTAAAAGTTCAACATTTAAATAAACCCATAGAAATATCATTCCAACCCGGCATATCCGAGCTCCTCTGAACCGGCAAGTTCTAGGCGAAAAGGAAAAAATAGGAGACGAACTCGAAACCCTAGTACTTGCAGAGCGTAAAGCAGTAGCAGTGGAAGTCGAAGAACAATGTCGTCGACTCTACTGGAGGTGACTCGTGCATCGCACGAGGAAGTTGAGCGGTTCGAGCGCCTTATTGTGAAGGATCTCCAGACTGAGCCGGCCACTAACAAGGACCGGCTCCACCAGAGCCACCGCGTTCGTAACATGATCGAGCAAATCATTGATACCACACACAAACTAGTAATTTCTTGTTCTCGCTTACAATTGAATTAATTTTGCATTTTAATTTCTACTCGAAGTTTAGTTAACAATTGATGTTTGTGTTGTAGGTAGATATATATGAAGACAAAGACGGAGCGAGGAAGGATGAAATTGCAGCTCTGGGAGGCCAGACAGCAACTGGAACAAATGTGTTTAGTGCATTTTATGACAGATTGAAAGAGGTTAAAACAGTCTCAGCTCTTTTTGTTTTCATATTTAATGTACTGTGGTTGCGTTGTTCAATTTTTTTTTGTTTTATTTTATGAACTTTCTCTGTGTATTTGTGCTTGTGATATTTAGATTCGTGAGTACCATAGAAGGCATCCTGCTGCGCGTGCTATTATTGATACTGGTGATGAATATGAGCAGCTCCTCAAAGAAGAACCACAAATTGAGTTTAGCGGCGAGGTCAGTGTCACTCTTCTGTCTCCTGTCTGTGCCTCATATACTGTTTCTTTCTGGCAGGAAATTGCTTGCTTGTATTTTTTTTTATGAGATGATGGATTCTCGCTGCATGTTTAGCGAGTTTGCTTGAAATATTAATTACTACAGTGATTTTAGTAGTTTTTAGCATATTACATGTTTACACTGTTCATTTATTGGGCATTGGCTAAGTTGTAGACATCCTTTTTTGCTCTGAGTATTTGCAGTTGCGAGACAGCAGTTGTATTGAAAAGCTAATGCAATCGAACATTCACCGATCCTATAGCTTTATGATAAGGAAATTTATGTCGTATAAAAGCATATGCTTAGTCGTTGGGTTGTTACCAGCTTGTCGTAAAAACTAGTGTTGGTATTGGAACTTGAAATTAGACTGACTTTGTCTACTTAATGCAAAAGAGAGAACTAGAAGTTTATATAAATGCTAAATCATTGGTTGTTCTCTCAATTGGAACAATAGGGCCTCTTCACTACTAAACTTGTTGGAGAGATGAAATATAATCAAGGTATATCTTTTTATCAAAGGTTGTATTGATTGTCAAAAGAAGATTTAGGCCAAAAATTAGAATAATCTTTGGGAAAATCAAAGTTCATCGAAGAGAAGAAATGAAAGCTTTCATAGAAGTTCCGGGAGAATTGAGAATATATTTTTCATTCCATACATGCCAGATCACGAATTAGTAATTCTTTTCATAGCTGATGTTCATGTGAATTTTTCCATTTTAATTTAATGGTTCTGCAGTGAGATTATGCCTACGTGTAACTCTGTATAACTTTTGAAGCAGGGACTTCTCTGTTAAATCTGTCCCCCTTGGTGTCTATTGCTTCTTGTAATTGTGTGATACTAGTTGTCTTATATTCCATTTTGCTATTGTGACATGTTGACAGGAAGGTTCTGGGCGATACCTTGACTTACATGAATTGTTTAACGAGTATATCAACTCCAAATTTGGTGAACCAATTGAATACACGGCTTATCTTAATGTATTTTCTGAACCACAGAAGATTCCTCGTAAAGCAAAGACGACTAGGTAAGAATTTCTCTAGTTGGTGTGAATATTCAATCTTTCAAATTAGATATATCGTTCAGAATTTGTTGCTTAATATAGTTAAATGAGGTATATACAGTTTCAGGGAACATCTTTTGAAATAACAGCTTCTTCAATAACTGCCTGTTAGTTTTGGTGAAATCTTGTTGTTCCTGTGAAGTTCAAATTTGAATGTAAAACCATTCCCTCCTCTTTATGATTTCTACGTCTTTGTGATATGCAATAATTGCGTATTTTGCTGTTTTACAGGCGGTACCTAGAATATTTGCAGAAACTATTGGAGTATCTGGTCTACTTTTTTGAGCGGACGGAGCCCTTGCAGGATCTTGATAGGATATTTTCAAAGGTGCCATTTTTTTTATCAACATGCTGTTCCTCAGTCTGATTTTATTATTGAGTGACAATTGCTTGCTTGTTGCATACTTCTTTCTGTCTGACATCGTTGGGAAGTGTATATACAGTCTTTCTCCCCCTTTTAAAAATAATGGGAGAGTTAAGTGAACACATCAGAGAAGGTTTCTGTTTATCTGCTTGTAAAAATTAATGCATTTTTTTGGATTTGTGAGTTTTGAATTGGTGTTAGTTGGATGTTTTGCTATGTGGAAGTCATTGCTCACATGTGTTCTCATTGGAAACACTGTATAACTTATCTGTTTCATAGTTTACTGCTTAAATAGTGTAGTTTAAGGATTGTTTCTTCTAATATGAGGAGGTTATGCTGTCATACTTTATATATATCGTTCACATTGACATTTTAATGTCTGTTTTGAAAATTCCAAATAACTCTCACTGTTATCGAGTTTTATCGGTGAATATGACTGATTTTGTATGGTGGTTATGGTTAACTTCTATATGCGCTTATGGAATGATACTTGACTTATCCTCATTCACTCACCAATACTTCTTACCCCCCTTCCCCCCCCCAAAAAAAGAAAAAGAGCACTTCTATTGTTTTTTTATGTATAACTAATTTCTGACAGGTAACAAGTGAATTCGAAGAGGAGTGGACTTTGGGCAAGGTAGAAGGATGGGAAAATAATGGTCAGGAAAATGGAAGTGCTCCAGAGAATTATACTGTGATTGATCTTGATTATTATAGTACAGCTGAGGAGCTGATGGTAGTGGGACCAGAGAAGTTAAAGGAGGTATGGTAGTTTCTTTAAATTGTTTCTCATCTATTTTTCTTTAATGGAATGCCTTCAAGTTTTGGAGCACATTGAGCTGAGGATATACCAACATTCATAGGAGTTACACTGTTATTTTGCAATTAAACTTGGGAGTTATGTGTAGCTGATCTGATTTGCTGGATGTAGAAAGAAGGAAATGTGCTAAGTGACCGATAAAAAAAATGTTGTACTTGGTATCTACTTGATCTGGTTCATCCATCAAAACAAACTGATACTGATGGTTTGACTTGAGTTGATAATTTGATTGGAACTCATCCTTTATTAGATTTCTTTTACAAGTTTTGAAGTGAATCTTGAATTTTAATTATGTGCACCCCCAGTTTGTTTTGTTTTGTAATTACCACACAGATTATAACGTTGAATGGAGTGACAACTTATTTTATTTGTACACAAGGCATTTAAGCATATATTTCTGGATAGTTTGATGTTTATATATATAGCAACTCTTATAGCCTTTTGTCGGAATGCTTACTGAAGTTCTTGTTTGCTTTTAGTTACTTCAGACTATTATAGGTCAATTATTATTTGAACTCAATTGCTCTTGGACTGAATTGTGGCAGATGCTTAGGATGTCAAGTAGAAGTATGCAATTGAGATTGTTAACTCCCAGGTTGAAGAACCCTACTCTTTATTCAGTAGTCTCTATCTGGAGAATGTTCTGGTCCCAAAAACCAATCTATTACAGAAGGTTTCTGTAAGTAGGCGATCTAATCATTCTAGTGCTTTTAGTGGTAATAGGCCTTGTTTCCTAATTCTTTCAGATTTTCACTTCAAGCTCTTAGTGTTTCTCATTCCAGCGATAATAATATCATCAATTAGATCTTTGGTTCTCCAATCTCCTGCGTTGTAGTCTCCATTCTTTAAGACATTATTTTGTCAAATCCTTTCTTTTTCTCTGGTTCATTGGAATTCTTTTCTTTGTATTCAACTGTTTTTCGTAGTGGCTGTATGGTAAACGCACATTGAAAGAATACTCTAGACAGATCTTTGATCATTGCTTCATATTTGCATGGAGACATGGACTGTTTGATGGTTGGAGATTCCCTTCACCCATTAATTTTGCAATTTTGTTAAAACGAAAATTGCAATTTGTGAATGTGTGGGTTTTGGACTTCTGATTTTACCAAATCAAACTTCGTATTGGTGGGTTGTTTAGAAAATTGTATCAGTTTCACATTTTCCTATTTGCCCAGATTTTTTCTTTAATTCTCTTTGCCTGCCAGTTGTCATGTTCTATTTGTTCCATGTACTCCTTATATATGTCATTCTCATGATGCAAATTTATATTATATGGTATTAAATATTGGGCAAGACTTCAGTGTGATGGATGTTGATACGGAACTTTAATATTGTGGCATCTGTTGTAGGCATTGGGAGCACTGGGACTGAAGACAGGAGGTACTATTCAGCAACGTGCCGAGAGACTTTTCCTTACGAAGGTCAGTTGCAAGCATCTTTACCCAAGAATAAAGTATTCTCTCCTAGATGGTTGAGGATTTGATTGCTTCTTTTTACAAATTATTTGTGAATTGGTTTCGGCATGCATAAATTTGTTGCTTGATGTTTTGACAGAACATCTCGCTTGAAAAACTAGACAGAAAGCATTTCGCCAAGGGTTCGTGGAAACCAGAACAAAACAGTGTTGTTGCGACTTCTCACGTGGGTGATGTTAAAGAGATTGCTCTCTTGGAAGCCAAGATAAGAAGGCTATGTGATCTGTTGGATGAGGTGGGTGACACAACACTTCTATTATCTCCTGAAGGGAAATATATCTGAGGCAACATGCTCACATTTGAATTAATGTGGAGTAAATTCAGAAAATGGATCCTTTATGCACCACATACTAACAATTTTTTGAGTCATGTTTGGGGAAGATAACAAGCATGGTGTGCAGATCTATGTTATGTCAAACCCCAGAGTTGGTGCACTGACTCTTCTTTTATTTATATTTTATTACCTTGCAGACAATTGTGCGGACAAGAGAAAATGTTGAGAAAAAGCAGGCTTTGACATATGAAGAAATGGAGGCAGAACGTGAAGAGGTAATTCATGAGTGACCTGTAACCTTTTTTGGGAAAGAGAACACCATCATAAAAGAGATCAATGCCTTGATGCCAAAGTTGGCTTTATGTGGGGTTTGTCGCCTTCTATTTCTATCTCAAATTTTGGTAAAATTGGTAAGCCCCTCCTTCTCTGCCCCAGAACCAACCAACCAAGCCAAACCAAAAAAAAAGGGAAAGAAAGGAGATGATGTCCACCTTCCAAATGGAAATCTTCACTAGTGTTTTATCATTAAATTTTTGAAGTGTCCCATTTTCCCTCTTACCATCTGAATGACCAAAAAATGTCATCTGCTCCATCTTTAAAAACCCACTCATCAGTCATCTTAACAAAATTCTTTTTCAAAATTCCAACATAATGCGTTCCAAAGCAATGTCCAAAAAATTTGTTTAGAGTAAAATACACATCTGGTCTCTCTGAAACTATTTTTTAAGTTTAGGCTCTATTTGTTTGCACTTAATGAAGACTGAATAATTACCACTTTGTTTTGTCCTCGTGCCTGGTTGCTAGAATAGGGTCTTAGACTCACATTTGACTATTACTGCAAATTTGTCCTTATTAACAAAGAGAAGTTGCACAATTTAAGAAGTTGGGGGACACAGTACCTTCTTTTTATGTTTAACAAATATAACCAATGAAGATGTTTTATTTGCTTTAAGTTGAGATCATAGCTATTAAAATGGACTATACAATGGAATAGCCTCTTGGAGTTTATTGCATTGATTATTAATGTTGGATTGAAGAATCAACAGAACCATAAAGTTTGCTCTTTAGGGATCTTTGGTCACACTAATTATTGGTTTTTAGGATTTGTTGTCGGATGACTTTTCATGCTTTCTGACAACAATGCTGTCTCAATGATTTCTTTCAGGACGATGTTCAGGCTGAGTCTGAGAGTGATGATGAAGACCAACAAATTTATAATCCTCTGAAATTGCCAATGGGCTGGGATGGGAAACCTATTCCATACTGGTTGTATAAACTTCACGGTCTTGGTCAGGTAATTTCTTTTGGTGTGTTTGGTTTTTGATGTCTGTCACGGGTTGGTGATCACATTGTTAATGCTGTTCTTCTTCTTCCTTTTGCCGAGTGAATTTTCGTTGAATTTTACAGTTTCCATTTGTATTTTGGATGTTGACTTGTATCATCATCTTACATAGTCCCAAATTATGTTTTGAAGATTGGAATCTTTGGCTTTTAGCTTTTGAATAGGTATTTGACTTGGATAGGTATTTGACTTGAATAGGTATTTGACTTGGAGTAAATTTTGCTTGGGCGCTGGTGCTGGTCTTCTTTTTGTTCTCAAGGTCCTTGTTATAGGCTTGAGGTTAAATCATCACAGATTTGTCATACAGTTCGTATTGTTTAGAACTTCTCTTTTTGGAGATGAAATTCACCCTTTCTCTGAACCAGGCCCTAAAAAGTACAGTTAAAAACTTCCTTACCTGCCTCAAAATGAGCATGGAAAGGAGAAAGGAATCCTCAAAAAATTAGTAGGAAAAAAAGGGACAAAAAAGGGGTCTGGAAGAGGATTAGAAGATGCTTCCACAGGATAATGCCTTTTTTTCATATCTTTGATATCTAAATGATTACAACTGTTTGCTTGTTGGATCAATAGGTCGTTGTCTGCTTCTGATGGTTGATTATCTTTAACATTCATCTCTATGTGCCCCACTTATTTTGATATGTGAGCTCGCTCTTAGGCACTCTTGTATGAATGCTTTCAGGAGTTCAAGTGTGAGATATGTGGGAACCATAGTTACTGGGGCCGTAGGGCTTATGAGCGGCATTTCAAGGAATGGAGACATCAACATGGGATGCGTTGCCTCGGTATCCCAAATACTAAAAACTTCAATGAGATCACATCAATCGAAGTATGTTTCTCTAAGCTGCATTTCAGTTCAGCATTGTCACAATACAATGTTTGTTTAGGTTTCTAGATTTTAAACTATATTAAAACATTTGCTGTTCACAATTAAATGTAATTGCAAAACAATTGTAGTGTATGCTATTCATCTGAAAGGTGTCTATATAACAACACTGATATTTAGAACAGAGGGCAAGTATTCATTTACTTTTTGCTGTATATATTCAGCACACTCAATAGTGCTTCTGGTACAATAAATTTATACCTTCACCGATCACAATAATGAAACTGATCATTTAGACATCTGTGTTGCTTATGTTGGCTTAACGAGTGATCTCTCTCATGTAAATGGATGTTCTGGATGAAGAAAGGGAGAGAAAGAACAGAAGAGTTTCACATTATTTTGCCTTAATTTCAAAAGAAACAGATTTTTGTTTGGACAGACGTAAAGAGACCTCCTATGCTATGTTGTTTGTGATAATTCCTTTACCTTCATTTCATTTCTTTTTGTAAAACAAAAAATAACGGTTCCCTCCTCCTGTTTCTTGTTGTCTTGGTTTCTGTGCCCAGTCTTCCTTCCCTTTGGATGTCTTGCTTTTGATTTTTATTTTATTTTATAGGCTAAAGGGTTTTTAGGTATTAGTTGAAGCATAAGTTCTTGCATGATGTTTGTCACTGTCCTGATAAAGTCAGCACAGAAAGTGTAAACAGGTGTCATTGTCCGTGACTTATCTAATAGCCATTCGAGCTCATACTTAACATGTTTGGACAGACAGTAATGCCTTTCTGCTGTCTAGGCTTCAAAGAGACCTTACCTCTTCCTCGGTCTGTCTTAACCATGTCTTAGCTTATTTTACTGTCTGATGCATCTTTCTTATTGTGTCGCAGGAAGCCAAGCTACTTTGGGAAAGAATCCAAGAAAGACAAGGGGTGAATAAGTGGCGCCCTGATCTTGAAGAAGAATATGAAGATCAAGAGGGCAACATCTACAACAAAAAGACATATACTGATCTTCAACGCCAGGGATTGATATAGTTCATCATTCCATTTGGTGGTATGTTGCTTTATTGGTTCTAGTTGATCTGGATGGGAATGTTCTGCTCCTCTTTGCTTATGCATTTTCTTTTTAATTTTTTCTAGATGATTATGGACAAGGCCAGATGTCTTGGTTTTGGTTGAGCAAGCTTCTTATTAAGTAAGCGATAGTTAATGAATTATCCCAGAGATATGATTCTTATGTGATTTGATGTATTCACCTGGTAACCCCTCTCAGAAGTTGCTTGGAATTTCGAATTCACCAAGTGGGGGACTGAGGGACGAGACAGAAACCTCTATTTGGAGTGAATGAATGAAAGAAGCGAGGATGTTTTTAGATGGGCTATTTGTTGTTTTTTTAGTTTTTTTTTCTTGAAACAAAGTTGTGGTCCTTGGTTCGTTTGGTATTTTTCATGGGCCGCTTGGGGTTTCGATGAAGACATCCGGATATTTCTGTATACATCACTGTTATCTGTACTTTGAAGCTGTAGTAGTATTAGTAAATGAACGAAAGCTGGTGCATCTTATTGCCAAGTCTAGCTCGTCAAAAGAATCCACGCCCGAGAAAAAAATAGAGGTATCCTTTTGCTCTGTAATGAGCATAATCGTTTGCTAGAAAGTTGGTGCGATAGTAAGGGAGAATCTTTGCAAGTTTAAGACACAAATCTTGGCTTCTATTCTTTTGCCGAACTCCTGTTACAGAAAACTAAAAATATGATCTTATTTACAAAGTGCATGAACAAGCTATTTTTACTCGCAATCAGCTGTCATTTGTACATCTATGGAAGAAGAGGGCAGATCCATTTACACTTCGAAGGACAAGCAATCTTGAATCTAAATATGTTCCGCAAACGATTTTTGACAGATCGAACATTTCAGGAGGTATTTGGGTGCGTACTTCTTGAATTGCTTTCTGTGCAACTTCCATGTTTCCATTCAGTGGTTTATTAAGACTCATCATCACATCGATTTCATCCGACACAAGTTTAGCTACGGAAAGGCTGGAAGGGATTTCGTATATCGGGATTGCTTTCCTCCACTTTTTACTAGATAGCCTTTTCAGGACGGAAGCTTGAGCATCCTGTGTAGCTGAAGGAAACTTTGAGCTGATAGTTTCCTCCTCAAGATATAACCGTCTCCCAGCTCTCAATCTGAAAAAGGAATTAACTTGCAGTTCTCCCCCAACGCCAGACTTGTCATGAGCCCAGTCACGACCAGCCATAACTGTGAAGCTAATATGTGAGGCAGCTGAAAATGTGGTCTTAGGTTGTGACACTTTAGACATTGTTAGGTATACTTCCCCAATGAGTACTCTAACAGAAGGCTGTCGAAGGGTCAACCCTATATGTCTTCCAGTACAATATAACAGCCGCCACTTTCCAGGAAGCAATCCCAACCAATGCTGCACATCAGAAGATACTCGTTCAGTTGCAAGCGTAAGCATATTGCTCAAGGCATAAGAGGTGTCGCCTCAAGACCCAGGAAGCAATTCTTCCCAATTGGACAACGTATCCTAAATAACAATAAAGACAGTGCAACAAATATACCCTCACACAGTACTTAATGCATAGAGTTCATAACCAGATTAAGTGGAGCATGCTAATAGGGAAAAAAAACAAAGTTTGCTAAAAGGGCAGCAGATATGAGGTGTTTAATCAATTTACAAAGTCAATTTGTAACAATTAGGCAGGCAGCTGAGAAAGACCACTGAAGAAAGTCGACAGACAAACATTATGCTCAAACATCAAGGAGGAGACCTCACAACGCAGGTTATTGCACAAAAAGGATCAGCAGCATGAAATGCAGAATATGTGTGATATTTTAGGTGAGAAACTGTAAAACAAACATTGTCAAACTGAGAACCAAATGATGCAGAAGTTCTTCACTAACCAAAGAACATAAGGAACTCGTAATAATTTCACCTTTGGCTTTGGATAAGGATTCAGCATCTCCATTAATTCGACAAAATGAGCAAGCCTACTTCGCTGAGAAAAAGAAGAAGAAAAACAGAAGAAAGAAAAGATGAGCAAGTCTTTTGGTTTCTGATCCAACTAACAGATGTGACAAGATAAAGAGATTAATGACCAGAGAAATATTGTAATGACGAGCTAAATAGAAGTATAATTTGATAATACTTGAAGACAATATGAGGGGCACATTTTAGAAAATCTAACAGTTCCTGGTTTTCCTAGATGAAACTAAGGGCCCAATAGGGTAGAAAGACAGTAGGTGTTTGAATATGAACTTAAGATAATGATTTGAAATCATTGATTCGGGTAGAGGTTGATTTGAAGTTAAAATTGTGTTGGGAGATGCAATCTGAACTCCAGAAGTTGTACTTTCTCTCATAAACACGAAAACCCCACAATTTGTGAAAACTATCAAAACTTCCCAAATTACCATCAAAGAGTTCCGTCACAAATGATGGCTGTCAGAGATAACTCTCATCTGCGGATCAGGACAGCCACAACTTGGCTGGATTCAGGATGTGGCTGTTTGGAGAAGGAGCTAGTTTTTGGGTAAAGTAGGCTTGGTAATTACTATTGCAATAATGTGGGTCTTTTTTTGCAAAATATAGAACTATCGGCCAAGTTGAATCACAAATTTGAAATTGAAATACCACCAAAATTTCAAGTGGAAGAAGTTTTATTCAAAATACCATAAACAAACACAAATTTCAATATCAAAAGTTCAAATTTGAAGTCAAAATTGCTTGTCCAAACCTCTCCAAACAATGACAATATATTGAGATGGAAAGATTATAAACTCCATCTGAAGGAGTAGAAAGCATAAGAAGCATAGATAATTATAAACTCAGCTAATAAGAGGAAAAAAAAAACTTAAAGATGAACTACTCTTCTGAAAAGGAAGCATTTAATGTTTAAAAATAAATGGGGAAGCAGGTTATTTGTACCCATCGTAAATTTCCAGAACAGTAAACAATAGGAGTGAAGCACATTAGAAATTCCAGCTGAAATAAGGAGGTATGTTTTTCAAAGACATCGTTGAGAAACTAGGAGGGGAAATAGAAGTGATTATACAGTAAAAGATCAAATACTCTCTGTAGGTATCAAATCAACTATTTCACCAATGATAAGGAAATACTTTTCACGATCAGCTGACAGTTATTACCTGCTGTTGCCCATAAATATATTCCTCTGCAATTCGAACAGTGGTTGAGCCAAGACTCCATCTGATTAGATCAATAGATGGGTTCACACGCCATTTTGGTCCACACAAGAAGGGATGCCTCAGAGCATTTAAGCAACTGCAAGATATCAGGTACAGATCATTAATGCTCAAGTAAGTTTACATTATTGTCATCGACTTGACTATAAATGGTGGTACCCTAGTTAATAGTGCCGTTTCAGAAATAAATATCAGCACTTGAAATAAATTTATCTAGAATCATGTACATGCAACCTGTCCTGCCTTCTAGCTTATAATGTAGAAATTCTTATTAGCTACTCCATTAGAGGTCATAAACCCCATTTTACCAAGAAAACTCATCATTCATTAGAAGAAGCTTCCCCTTGATCAACAACCCCCAAAATAATTTTGAGGTTCTGATAAGAAGATACGTGTTCCTCCAAAAATCTTTCAAATATTTAAGTAACTAGGGCTCTTGCAGAAATCAGTTAGAAGAATACCAATTCTGTCATTTTCAAGAAAATTTGCTCTAAGCCTCTACACCATAAATTATCATCTAACAGAGACTGGTTTTAATTAAACCTGCATAGCTTGAAATATAAATTAATATCTGATGCATGCGTATGAAAGTTTCCAGAAGGCATCATAACCCATAATGACTCAGTCTACCTTATCCTGTCCAAAGGTTTAGGTGCAAGGAGTACTGAAAGCAAATGCCAACCTGCACCCCAGTTCCTATCGAGTATCTGCAAGAAGAACAATAATTAGTACCTTACCAAAAAATGGGAAGAGAACTTGTCTTAAACTATTATAGGCAATATCCCAGAGGGGGTCTTATGCAGCAGGACTAGAAATAAGATGATATCAAACTACATGATATAGGGAAAATAAAATATTGAAAAGAGAGAATAACCTGAATAAGTGAATATCCACCTTTATCTAAGTGAATTACCAAAATAAGGCTACACAAATTATAAATATTTTACCATGTGTTACCAAATCCATGCTTCGTTATAGCAGATGAACTGTGTGATAAAAAAATTACTCATTTGCATAAACCTTCATATATTTGAATCCACCCCATCATAACTCATTTTCTAATCTAGTAGGAACAGGACCACGTCATAAGAATCCTCATTATATTGGAAAAGCATAACAAATCTTCTTCAATTATACTCAAAGAATAACACAAATAGAAGAGTCGTTTTGAGTTAAGCTATAACACTCTTACTAATGCATCTTGACTAGAGAAAATCATGTACGAGTTGAGACATGACTCTTTTATTAACTCACACATTTCTAATCTTCATAACCGACCACATTTGACATCTTTTGAGAAATGTAATATTTGGCTGACACTCTTGGAAATTGAGTAGCACCAAAGAACTTACATAATTATGTTTATAAAAAAAATAGAGGTAGTTAATAAATATAGTGAACAAAAGAATACATTTGTCATAATTGATTATAACTAATACAAATTCTCTTGACTTTGAGCAACAATGGAACGATCAACGATAAACAAGGGACTGGGGTACTAACTTGTATACCAAAGTTTCCGACCGAAGAATTTCTTTTTACAGCATGCAGAAGAAACTCCCGCAAACAGGAGGGATCATTTCCCTGAAGGTGATGTGAACAAAGTTATTGCAAGTGAAAGCATGTATATGGGAACATCTAAAACTAGTGCACAACCTTGGTGAGGAATGCTTTGAACTTGGCAAAGATCGTTGGGTCCATGAGTTCCCTCAAAACCATTTTTGCCATGATGAATCCAACACATCTTTGCAACAGGTAAAAGCAGATAGAAACTCATGAATAGCTTGCTTCACGCTAAATAAAAAACATAAATATCTAAGCATGCACTCATACCTCATGTCAAATGCAATCATCATTCTCCTCCTATCCATATTGTCATATGATGTGTTATCCGCAGGATCAGCCTCATTAAAGTCAGAAGCATTTCCCAATATACCTACCTGATAAGAAGGGGTCAGTTGGAACAATCCACACGAAAGGAAATATAACTCTTCTTCTCATATAGGAAAAGTTTAAATGTAACCAACGAAAAGGCAAATTTTAGTTTCAATTTTCAAGTATAGCACAATGTTTCCAAATTGAACCATATTAGCAATAAGTATCAAAACCTAGCGATCAGAAAGAAAAAACAAAATGTAGGGATATTGGCACATGCTACTTAAGAGTTCGTAATTATCAAAACAAAATGTAGTGGATCATTGTCCTTTTGGAAAACAGTGACTATCCTGATCAAACTCAGGTATGCTGAAGTACTGTCAAATGTACACATTATACATGCATTCTACATCTAGTAATAATTAATACATAGCTCTAGTTTCACTGAAGAAAACTTGTCTCTTCCACCAGACAACTCAGAACCTACAGAGAGTAGAGCCTTAATTATAATTGAACATATTCCTTTACAGTATAAGCCATACGGTCTTATGTGCAAGCATCCTAGTGTTAGCTGCAGTACTTTGTCCTTATTGTACTAATACTATCCAATCCCTACTACAATAGACAAAATGAATGACACTCACCTTAATATGTTTATCCACCGCGCTAATGTGCAAATTTTCAAGCCTTAGCTCTGTATGTGCAAGGCCATGGCTGTGCACATAGTTCACCTGAGAGAGAGAGTCAAGGATCAATCAACAAATAAGAGAAAAACTAGTTATCTGGTACCTGTTCAGATAAGAATCGACACACACAGCACATACTCCAATCAAGAGATCCCTCATTAAAATTCGGATTAGCCGCAGTTGCCGGGAAATAGCTGGCCCTCCTATAGTATCATCCCCCACCCTTCTAACAGACTCCTGATCTAGGGAAAGAGTAGCTTCTAGAGTTGGAAGCCAGTCAGACCGTTGAAGCCAGTGTCTCAATGAAGCACTTCCATGATGCTGAGAGAACAAACCAAGGTCCTCAAAAATGTCAACTATATGAAAGTCTAACATAATTCACAGAGAGGAGAACTCATTATGTTATTTGAACAGGTGCATAGTACTTGTATTTAGTTACTTCTCAGGCACCTAAGTGAGCAAGCATGAAACTAGAAAGTACTCAGAACTTTTGAGACTAAGCTAGTATATTTATCTTCATTATGTTATCAAGTCGAAGAATAGTCCCTTAAAAATAAACAATGAGCTTAACATAGAAATCGGCATACCCCATGAACTAGGGTGAATGAACTATTCTCATCTATCATGGATGAGCAGATATATCCATGAACTTGCATAGAGTACGAATGATACATGAGTTTACGACGTCCCAGTCTCTTCAACACCTAGAACACATGGACTATCAATAGTTAATGGACAAATCACTAGGCATTTTCAGAACTGATAAACAAATCAAAAAAGCAACAGCTAGGTGCAATATACCTCTATTGCACGATGTCCTCTCCGCTTGGCTCGAGGACTTATAAGTTGTCTAAGTACAACTCTGGTCTTATACAATGGGCTGCAGTTATTGTTGAAATCAGGAAATGATGAGTTTTACTGTAATTCAGTCTTCTACTCAAAATTGTACTATAAAAAAACAACTTACCTATGAGGATCATTCACCATTGCTTCAAACACTATTTCATCTCCCTGCCACAAACAAAGCACAAAATACAACCCAATATTAAGCATCAACCAGCTACCGATATTATACGTCAACATGAAAACGTTTTCACAGTTCGAATAGAATAATCAAGGAGATTCCATTACCCTGCCACCAAGGCCAATGCTAACACGATTCCTTATCTTAAAATCGGACATTTTGAACTTCGTCACATGGCTGAACTCATCCTCTAGGGAATCACTGCTACTTAAGGTTGCTGCATCCTCCTCCGATTCTAACGGAGACATAGTATTAGGCAATGAACAATTCACTTCCAACCTTTTCCTCCGAATCGGAAAGCCGGTTCTCCCAATCATAGGCCATAGTTTAAGACTAGTCGACGAATGAATAGAACTTATGCAACGTCCTTCAACATATTCCATTTTTGGAGTTGAATATACTCCGATAGCCGCCATTTTTACGTCAAATTCTCCACGATCAAAGAGATACACTTACCACAAAACTGCAAAATAACAAATAAGCACAAAATTAGGTAAGAATGAAGAAAATTAGAAACGAAACAAATTAGATTGAGCTGATGCAACTGTGTTGGATCGTATTCATAGATTCAACTAGAATCATCTAAAAATTTAAAAAATTACCAAACCTAGCAAAAAGAATACCAGTTATAGAGAGAAGAAGAAGAAGATGGAGAAAAGCTTAGAGAAGAGAGAGAAATATTGTTCACATAAATAGTAAGAGAGTCGCAGAGAAGAAGACGAAGCTTGTGAGAGTGGCGTGTAAGACTAAGTTTGAGGCGTTTCGACACGAGTCTACCGTGTGTATACGTCCGCCTATCCAAATATCTTCTACTAAAACATTTGAATTTTAATTTATGTGATATTATTTCATTACAAACATAAACTCGTAGTTTACAGAATTATTGAGGATTTATAAAGGAGGAGTGTATAAAAGAGAATATTTACTGTTAATTATTGAGTCTTTAAATGCTCTGATACAAGTGAGTTTTTTGTCATGGAGTGTGGGGAAGGGGACTGAACTAGGATTAGGAAAACAAGGAGAACGAATTTGTTCATTTTTGTAGATAAATGAGGGACTAAAATTGCAATTTAAATAGTCAATCATAACATTTAATTTCAGAATCAAAATAAATAAATGTCTAATTATGTACACATACCAATTACCACCATCATATATAACTAGAAAATAATATTTGTAGTAACAAAAATCAGCTTTAGCCCTAACTATTGTTACAAAAAAAATGAGAAATATTTCTTCACAGAGAATCTCTTCATCCGATCTAGAGAAATGGCCGACAGCCAGTCAAGTTACAGAACCAATTTTTCTCATCGAATTTGTAGCTTTCAGAGAAATAACACAACTCACAACAAATCATACATCAACGATGACGGTTTGCCTATTTCTCTTGCACCCCTATCCCATCCATGTTGTCAACGTTATAATTCCCACCAGTACAGGTACGAAGTAACTCTGTTTTTATGATTTTTTATCTCTTTATCGTTGCTTGAATTTCCTATGTCTCTCTTTCTACTTCATTGATCATTGAGCGATATTTGTCAGTGTTGGCCTGATAACTCCTTTTTTTTTTGAGGGGAGGGGATAGGGGTTAAGAGTTTTGTTAATGGAGAAACTTGAGGATTGAAGATAGTAAAGTGAAAAGGAAATAAAAAAAAAAAGGAATTTGTTTGAATCTTTTTGATTTTTGATTTTTGTTACTCTCCCACAAAAATAAAGAGAGAAGGGGTTTACATATGTGTTTAATGGCAGAAGGAGGAAGAATAAAAAAAGTATCTGCCTTTTGTCTGAATCTATAGATACATAATATAATTCAGACCCAACTTTCGCCAATATTATTGAGACCCCAAATCATCTATGGAAAGAAATACCCTAGAAGAAAACGTTTACATAAATTCTGTAGAATCACTAATTAGCAAGCTGTGAGGTCAGGTATAGCATAGCAGAGCAGAGCACGTAATGGTTAGATCTATCTCCTTCTGGAGGTAAAAAAATTTTATGGAAATGTGAAACCTAATTCATGAACTTTCTGCAGTTTGGGGCTTTACACAGGCAAGGAACCTTGAAATCCTCACATTCGTCTGGATCAAACAAGTAGTCGTACCTGTCAAGTATTGCAGCCAAATGAAATATATCAGGGGCGAGACTTACAAAATGTAGGCATTATTTTGTGTGAGCGTGTGCGAGTGCTGCATACTTTATGAGAGAGTGAGAGAGAGAGAGGGGAAGAGAGAGAAATACGTTAATTCATCACCAGCAGCCACATTTGCCTTTGCGATAAGTACAATCCGACTCTCATCAGCTCCTACACTCATGATCCGTGCATAGCAGTTTGGCATGCACTGCGCAAATAACAAAGCAAAAACGCAAAAAGACTGTAAGAGGGACTCATTGACTAAGGTAACTTGAGAATGAAATACCGCATTTATTGACATGCTAAATTTGCTTATCACAGATAAATTATAGAACAAAATATGCTTTGAAAGGGGAAAATAATTTCTATCATTCTCAGGAGTCTTTGCCATGCATAGTATATTGAAACATATTTATCAAATTAGGAGTATATTTAAGATCCAATCGGAGAAATCTTCACTGATATCAGATTAGATTCAGATTACAAACAATTCTAGTATAATCTTGTGGGATTCTGATCAATACTCAATTTCTTTCCCTGTTGAAACCTTCAATGAGATTAATACCATAGATGTAACCACATAATGGGTTTGAAAATGATGTCCTTCAGTTTTAGAAGACGAATTGCACCTGTGTATTTTATTTTCTTTTACCTAATTTAGTTCACTAGCCTTTGCTTTTTCCTCTGCAGGTTTTGATAACAAGGAGCAGCACAAAAGTCGATAAGACACGAAAAGAACACGGAATACAAGATCACTTTCTCAAGAGAAAAGAAGAGGAACTAATAAGATATACAGAGCATGACAGAAGGAGAAGCATCATCAAATATATAATTCTAGTTTGATTCCACATATGAAGAGAAGAGTCAGGTACAATGAAAGATAAGTGATACTTACTGAATGGTTAATTAAACGTGCAATGTTTCCCTTGTCAGTGGCATCAACCACAACTTCTTCACTAATCTTAAATAGCTGCAGAAGATAATTCAGCAACATTAATTGGTGCTTGTGACAACATACAGGTTGGAGAGAGAGCACAAAGAAAAGAGTGAAAAGAACCTACATAGCAATCTTTTCCCTCAACACGATATCGTGCCTCCCTCAAATCTGCAACACTGCGTCTGACCTGCTCACCACGATACTCCAGAACCTGAAACAAGTAAATGTATGCTCCACTGAGTGACTTCTATATTTGATGCTGAAGTTATTAGAAATACGAGCACTTCGGTTATTAACTGATTCTCGACACAACAAGATGATCTGTAGCATACTCAGGCAAGGAGGAACTACATCTCATTGGAAATGTTCACAGGTTATGACACAAATCATTGACTATCAAGAATAGCTCCTCATGATGAAAAGATAAAGAACTCCATTTTCATGCAATTACACGGACTGCCATTTACATCTTTTCCTAATATGATCAAAGTACTGACTAGGGGTAACTAGTAACAACTATAAAAGATTTTTATACCATCTCTCCTTCTGGAATATTTCTACGAGCAAACAAGCCCCATCTATGTATCCCAGATCTACCAAAGCAAACTCGATCATTTTCTGTTCTCTGCAATTGGAAAAATAAGATGTAGACATTGAGAAAGTTAACTGGAAAACTGTTAACTTGATGAACAGAGTTGTTAAGAAGAATGCCTGCAATTCACGAAGCCGCTCCCTAAAAGTAGAAAATGTTTTGGATCCCCTGACTTCCTGTTAAAAGGGGAAGAAGGAATAACATTCAAAATCACCATAGTAGCTACGAAAAGTGACAGGAGATCATCACTTAACATAGGAAGTCATGAAGGAGGGAGGGAAGGCGGAAGAAATTTACTCTAATAATGCTCAAACTCCGCATTGAACTTGAAGAATGGTGACAAGGTCCCCTCACGTGGTGAGCAATGGCAGTTTCTCCTGTTCCCTGACAAGCGAAAAAATAAGGATATAACACAAACCAGCAAATAAAAAATTTGCAATCATAAGGCAGATATGTGAATGTCAACTAAAAAACTTACAACCACATACAAAAGATACGGAGAAGCATGACTTTATCATTACCAGGGAGCATAACTAGAAAGTTTAAGGTAGCTAAAAAGCATGACTAAAAGCAACTATTGTTATTAGACTTATAAATAGAACAAACATTGGGAAGATATTAAGCGTCAATAAAATAAGCAAATTGTACATAGACATTCACAATAAAGTTAGTTCTTATATCTCTAATGTCTAGCGCAAGCGGATGCTAATAATGAATTCACTCATACAGAGTTTTAACAGTTCAAAAGCCAAAAGGCAACAATGTTTTAAGTTGCCTACTGTCATAAAGATTCAAGTAGCTAAATAAAACAAATATCTTTCATTTCCTTCACATTGAAATTAAAAGAACTTGGAAGCACCAATCACAACTTTTCATATCAGTGACATGGTGTAGTACCTTATCACGCAATCGATTATAAACACGACATTTTGCTGCAGAGAATGGCTCAATCTCTTCTATCTCTGCTGCTGGAGCCTCCTCAAGTTTCAGTCTGCTTGTTGAAATTAGACGTGAACCTGTGCGCTTATTGTTTTGAAGAAGGCTTCTTGCAGAGAATACTCCTTTGGGAGTCTGAATGATGAGAACGGTATCTGGATTAGGAGCCCTGTAAAACCACAAATTCATTAGACTTGAAAGCCCCCATTAAATATCACAGCTTGAATAATCAAGCATCCATTATTTTGACTGAAGCAGTTCTCATAAATGACTCTCGCTTCCATCGTTCTCCTTTTCTAATCAGTGATTCAGAGAAAATGGAGCAGTACCTGTGGTAGGCACAATACGAGACCATTCTTGTAACCTGTTTCCCATTTTTCTCCGAGCAGTGTAGCTGCAGGTCGAAAAGTATTAACATCCAGGAGCGAATGACCAAGAAAAAGGATAGGGGAAATAAAGCTTAAAGTGTAGAATGCATTGACTAAACAATACAAATTAACTAGTCATCGTGTCAATTTAAATTTAGAACCTAAATCAATGACAAAACAGGTTAACTAGATAAGTAATCTCACCTCCATGCGATACCCAGCCCTTGATGCGCACATGGCATGGTAATATGTCGAGCACTTACAACATTGTGTGCAGGAACCATGAATTTGTTTGCAGATCACACATATCTGATATTTACAAAATCAATGCTCACTTCAGATTCAATTGCAGATTTCTTGCTAGTACATGATGTTTTCTCATTTTAATTCGAGACTCAGATATGTATCACACCTATATTAACTGGAGCAATAACACCAATCTGATAACACATTACATTATAGATGATCACATGACAAAGTAAAAGTCTTATAATTGTACATTTGTAATATATATCAATCGAATGATTTGGTGAGGAGCTCTTTCCACTCTAACGAGGGGATCCGGTGCATTAGTGTTAGTAAGATAGCAACCAGAGGAGCTTTTTACACTTTAATAAGATATTGTTACAATGTTTGCCTCTACAAGCAATGCTCCCTTTTACAGGGCAGGCTGAGTTATTCAAATTCTCAAGCATCCACCATGTTTTCATAATGTCCATTATGAGGTCTGGAGTAGCAAAACAGCAACACAAATATTTACAATAGAATATTATGTCCTTTAAATTTGTGAAAGAAACCTGGCACATAAATCAGCAGCATAGATAATGTTATATTGCTACAGAAAATTTTCATGATGTATGGTTATGAACTCATTTTACATTTCACTCAGTTCAAATTTTCTTGGTTCCATCAGCTATCCGGGATAAAAATCTCCTAAGCAAATGATAGGAAATGTGATATGTAACGTATTATGTCTTAATTCTTAAGAAGATAAAAGCCTATGTTACACGCTTTTGTGTCATAACACCAATATTTTCTGCATGACCCAGAGCCATTTTCCTTCTGGGATAAAAGTGAAGTGAGGACCCCCGAATTTCCACCACAAAGTAGAATAACATTTCCAAAAACAAGAATCTTACCTTTACAAAAGAATTTGAAGGTATTCTCAAAATTCCAACTGCAGGCTCCATTTTCTCATCACTAGCAAAACAAACTTCAGGTTGGAACCAAGCACAAGTAATATGAACCCACAATTGCTGTATATCTGTGGGCTTCAAAGCACCTCCTAAATTAATCAACAATCTTAGGTTAGTAATAGCAGGTGAAAGGATATGGTTTTGAGAACAGTTCGCCGAAGTCCAACAACACTACAATTAATGAAAAAGATAGTAACTAGTGGCATGCCTTTCACAGGACACAGACAGCACTCCCGTTCAATCTCAGGAGTCTCGCAAGATCTGCAGACCCATGAAGTGAAATCACGAACATTTCTTGCTCCATAGCATTCTTGATGAACAGCAATTTGACACCTGATGGAAAATAGAATTTCAGTACCATTGTTTCTTTCAGAAAAAAAATTGGACTATCATCTTAACACTAAGTAACATTCGCAAAGAAATCTACAAGGAATTATGCAATTACTTGAGTAACCCACCAAAAAATACAATTAAACCTCTTCATCAAAATAAATAAATAAATAAATAAATACATATATATATATATATATAATGAAACCTAGACAATCACAAATCCTACTTCAGATCAAAATCTTTTCCGATGAATAGTATCAAGAAACTGTTTTTTAGATCAAATAATAGCAAATAGTGTCTCCAGAAATTGAAAACATATGGAAAATTTGCACTAATCTCCCATCAGACAGACAAGATTTTGATGTTAGTCATACCTTATGCATATAATAATTTTGTTGTAGTCCCAATCTTCAACCCATCGACATACTGCACACCTTTCTGTGGTCCACTTTGCATAAACAGGTTCATATTTTTCTGTATTATATAAAAAAAAATAAAAAAAATTGCCAACTGATCAGAATCTTAATTATAAAGCAGAACATGTAGTTAAGTCCTACGGAACTAGTCAAGTGTACTACTACAAGTATAGATGCAGACGTCAGACATGTCAAACTTGAAAATTAGGATTCAGATCCAGATAGATACACAAATATGGGTATAAGGGATTCAATTATGTAAGCATCTATTATTATTTTGGGGAAAAAAGGAGGTTACTAGGTAGTGACTAAATAGTTAGGTCAATTCACGGCATTGTTACTTAATTGGACCAAAAAGTGGTAGCCCAGAGCTATGCAAATGACAACCAACATGCAAATTATTATTTTGAGAAAAAGAAGAGGTTACTAGGTAGTGACTAAATATTTAGGTCAATTCCTGGCATTGTTACTTAATTGGACCAAATAGTGGTTGCCCAGAGATATGCAAGTGACAACCAACATGCAATAAGACAGACACACATGGATGATGGTTTCAAATATTTAAAGTAACATTTATATTTTCTGATCCCTAGTTCAAGTTCATACACAACTTAATTTGATTTAATGGGCACGAACATTTATATGGACATTTATTGTTGAATGTTATTATCATATTATAAGTTTGTAATAGTTACAGAGTCTTCTTCTTGATATAGATGTTAGATGTACCTCTCCTCTTCTTTTTTGTAAAACCAAATGCATCTCGAAAAACTGAAAGTTCTTCTCCAAGGTTATGATTAAGACCATAAGAATGGTGGGAGGAAAAAGAAAGAGAATTTGCTAAGACATTACTGAGGACAACATTAATAGTCGAATAGTGAAAGATGAATAAAACATAATATGTTAACAAGGTATGTTGGTCTGAACACATATCTTCTGTTATGATGGAACAATGCACATTTAGTGTCTATGATGCATAGATGTGGAATGTCTTTGACATAACAAGTAAATTCAAGCAAAGCATATACCTTGGAGAAAGCTAAGCAGCTTTTGTCTCCGCACTTTTAAAGAAGGACGTTTAACTGATTTGGTAGAAACAACATTCTGAGCATGATACTCCGCCATTTGCAGCATCTGTGGAGAAAAACAACATGTTACCTGTCTTACTTCATTGCTAAAGGAAAATCCAAAGAACATATTATGGCTACAGCATAATAATAAGACTTGAGCTATAGAATATGAAAAGTAGTGTGGTTCACCTAAAATATAATTTCAGTAAGGCATGCAATTAATTAGAATAGACTAAAGGCGGGGAGAAAAATGGTATAACTGAACTGTGACCTCACATAAAACAATCTGACAATGAGCCCATGCCATGTAATAATGAGAGCACTGTTTCCCTTTGTCAAACCTCCCCCCACCCCCGCACCCATCTCCCTCTCCAAAATGTTCTCATTTCAAAGGAATACCCTGCTGTTGTCATCAGGCTGTCTAAGTGATGTCATCCCCAACAAAAGAAAAATAGGGAAGGAGTAAAAGGAGGGGGACAAAAGGATCAAGTTTTAAATTTGATTGTCAAGATCATACTTCTTCTTTCACGTTAGCACTTCAAAATTGCATTACACTTGATTAGTTTCT